AGACGGGGGCTGGGCCGGCCACGCGCGGGGCACCACGGGAGCGGGAGTCCGCGGCCAGCCGTCACCCTTACACCGCGCCTGAAGAGCATAAGACGCCGCGTCGCGGCCAGAGAGGGGCGAGGCGCAAAGGCTTCCGGGACTTGTAGTGCCCAGGCCTCGCTCCTTCCGCCGGGAGCTAGGACGCGAGAGCTGGGACTACCGGGTCTCGAACTAAGATCCGCACAGCCAGTCCCCGGGCCTCCGGGAGGTGTGGTCCTAGCCTCAGACTCCTCCCGTTGTTCTGGTCGGAGCCAGCGGCCCGCGTGGACTACCGCTCCCAGGGTGCCGCGGGCTTCGGACTCTGGGAACCCGGGATTCCATGGGAAATGAAGTTCGCAACTGCGGGAGGCGTGGGCTGGGGAAAAAGCTGCGGCAAAGTTAGTCTCAATTCCATGTGTCACCCGGCAACCATTCCGCACCGCGTGGAAGGAGACTGTCCGAGAGAAAGCCTCTCGGGGCTCCTGTGCGCAGAGGAGGCGGGCGGCCGAAAGCAGGGCCTGGGCGTGCCTTCCTCCCCGGCCCGGGCCGGCGCACCCAAACCTGACGCTGCGAGCCGCCGAGTGCTGTGAAAGGGGCTTGTGACTCGGGATCTCAACGACTCTCATCGCCCCCGCCTGCAGGCCCTGCTGCGAAGTTTGCCCTGACAACGAGCTCTCGCGGCAAGCTGCCTTAGGAGGAGAACCCGGCGCCTGGGAGCGGGAGAAAGTCTCCGCCCCACTGGACAGCCGCCACGCAGCCACCAGGGGACGCTGCAGGACCAGGGGCGAGGCTGCGGTGCCCCCCCCCCCTACCCCCCCACACACACCCACACACACACCCGGCCGTCGCCACCGCCCCGCCTACACACTGAGGTCTGGACTCGGCTTTCTCGTCCTTAGCGAACATTGGAAACTCTTTATTATGGTGATGAAATCGACTGTCCCAGTCCCCGTACAGTTTGCACCATCACTCGTGCAAACTAAAGTGTCCTCACTCCATCGGGGCTCGCTGGCCTAGACTTGTGTGACCCACGGTCGTCCAGGAGAGGGCTCTGGGCACCTTTCCTGATGAGCTTCTGGAGCCGAATTTGCTAAGCCGTGGGAGCAGAGGTGCCGGGTCGGAAGTGGAGCTGGCCCACTTTTCACTCTTAATCCCACTCTAGGCTGAGGACAAAGAAGCTCCGGGTGCTCCGTCAGGTGGGGGAAGAAGAGGGATTACAGGGAGAGGTCGCAGCCCGGGACGGCCTCGAGGAGGAGGAGGAGGAGTAGAGGAAGGTGGAGCGAATGGTCCATCCGGGCGGGAGCTGGCTGGGCGAATGGCTGCGCATGTGCGCTTGCATGGAGGCCAGGCTGGGGCAGCCGGCGCTGCATAGAGGGCAGCGATAGGGAGCTGCCCCGTGCGTCCGCAGGTGCTTGGTCATGGCAGAGAAGTCCCGGGAGCGCTGAGGACAGAGGCTACAGGAGAAAGGCTTCTCTCCTAGGACGGACGGAGGGGAGGCCGATGAAGGAAGGTCGAAGGCTGGCCAAGAACGGATAGATCGGGCAGCAGGCGAGGGAACTACGCGGGAGTCCGGCATACAGAGAGGAACGCACATGCCGGCAGACCCGAGTTGAGAAGGAGGCTGACGATTCACCCTGGGCAGGGCGCCCATACCTGTGTGGACTCGGTAGTGCGTCTCCAACTGATGCTTGAGTGAAAACCTCTTTCCACAGACAGAGCAAGAATAGGGCCGAGACCGAGCAGGAGGGAGCAGGGGAGGGTGTTGGCGAGATGGGTGGCCTGTCGTGCCCTCATGACCCGCACAGGTTGCAGGTGGGCCTAAGGGGACAGAGAAGTCAATGGAGGACAGGACCAAGAATCCCAGATTCTTTCCCAGGCAAGAAAATGGGCTAAAATGGGGCTGAAGGAAAAGTGCCCTCACCCTACTCACCTGTGTTCCCCTGATTAGGTTGTTCCAACTCCCCAGGGCTGAACTGTGCAGGGCCCCCGGGGAGGGAACCTGGAGGGAACAGAGCGAGGAGGTAGAGACCTTGCTCAGGCTGGATGGAATCCTCAACCCCGTTTCAGGGTGTGTGCAGGGCAGCAAGGGGCTTACCTGGGATGGGGCTGGAGGAGGCCAACTGGTTCTGACTGCAGAGCCCTTTGTGGGGGTTCATGGGCAGTGGGATCCTAGGTGGGGGGAGAGTTATGTCCTTGGCAAAACGTGGGAGTCTGGCCAGCCCTGGCCCCTTCCTGAGGAAGGGGGTGTCCTGAGTCCTCCACAGGGGCAGGGCTTTGGCTTCCCCTGTGGTGAGAGCCTTCTTGTCCCATCCCTAGCTCAGGAAGTATATAGTAGAGATGGGTAGTGGCCCTCCACCCATCACGGCTGCCTCTCCTGGGCCACTCCCGCCCAGCCTGGAGGCCTTCCACCAGGCCTTTCACTCACCTCTGGTCCCGAGGCCAGATCTCCTGGCAGGCTCCAGTGGTGGGGCTGCTATGGGAGAAGGGAGTGCCATATCTGGGTGGCAACAGCAGGATGCTCCATAGGGCAGGCTGGCCCTCCCCTAACCAGGGGGCCTCAACCCACCGAGGCCTGGAGATGATGCTGGTTTGGAAGGAACCTGGTGGAGGGAGGGGACCAGGGAACTCCCGCAGACTTTCAGAGCCCCCTGGACTCTCCTTTACCCATGTAACCACTCTTTGCCTCCCATCTGCTCCCCCATGGCCAAAGGAGGGTTGGCCGAATTCCTCTTTTGATTGCACCTGCTCTCTCTGATCCTCCCGAGTTGTCCCTGTCACCCCCGGACTCTTTCTTGGCTCATGCAGCATCTCCTGTTCTCTCGTTGTCGTTCTAAAATGCTCTGGTTTCTGCCTCTCTCCATGGCCCAGTCCTCTCTCAGAATCTCTCATGGGTTTCTCTGGCTCCTCCTCATGTTTTGTCTGCCCTGAATCCAGCCCTTCTTTAGCCCTGTCCTTTCGAGCCTTCCTGCATGCCTCTTCCAGGGCCTGCACTCCCAAGGCCCTGGCTGCCTCCTCGAGGGGGCCTAGCTCCCCGGGCTGCAGCTCTACACTCTCCCCATAAACAAAGTACAGAAGCTGGGCAAAGGTGGAAGGGCTGATGCCTTCTCCCAGAGCCCACCGGCCCCTGCGGCCCAGCTGCAGGCTCACACCTGCTAGCACCAGGCTGTGAGCGGGAAACTCCTGGCTTCCTACCGTGATCAGGGTATCGCATAGTGCTGGCCGTAGCCTGGCTGCTAGCCGTACCAGCCGATCAGAACCATAGGGGCTGGGCAGTCTTGTGGCGGGCAGGGGCATCGTGCCTTGCCTGGGTACCAGTCTCAGAGGCTCTGAGAGAAAGGCCACATTGTGGGGTCCATGGCGGAAAGGGGAAGGGAAAACAGCATATTCTCAAGCCTGTGGAGGTGAGGGGAGAAAGAGTGAGTTGCTGGTTCTAGATTAGAGCTTTCTGTCCTGAATAGAGCCTATAAACTAACCCAAGAGAGAACTTGAGGTTTTCTGGAATTACATCAGTAGCCAGAGGTGGAGATGGTGATGACAGGAGAATGGAAATTAGACCAAATTCAGGACTTAAAGAGCAAGGAGCAGGCAGTTAACAAAAAAGTAGCAGGTTTGCGGCAGCCAGTGTGTGGTGCTCGAGGCACCTGGATCCCACATAGCCAACTCATGCGGTTTGAGTACCGAACCCAGCAACTTGAAAAATACAATAGACATGTACACGTGCACCTAAAACTCCCCAAAAGGATGGAGGACAAGTATAGCCAGGCCATACTCCTGGGGGCACTTTTTTTTTTTTTTTTTGAGAGGTTTTTGCTATAGGGCGCGTGCGCTCGCCAGACAGAGAGAAAGATAGAAAGCGAGAAATCACCCCCCGGGGGGGGGGAATGGCTACACCGCAATCCCTTCTCCATTCTCTTCTTGGGATCTTGGGCACGCATGCACACACACCTGGCGTGAGTTTTAAGCCACCAGGTCCGAGACGCGAACCACGGTCAACTACATGGGAGTCCAGCAATATAGCCATTACGCTAACTGCTGGTCCCATGGGGGCACTTCTTCACATTCCCTCTCTGTCTCTCTCCAGCTAGCTCACGCACCCCATAGCAGGTGATTTTGTTTTTGTTTTTAAATAGCAGATTTAAGACTAGTTTAGGTGGGGCCATTCAATTGCAATCTCTCATTTAAAGGATAGATGACACTAATATTCTACTGCTCTAAACTTCTATAGGGTAAGACCTCTGAGCAAAACAGGCTTTCCTCATGCCAGGCAGACGGGTTACCCCAAACCTAGTCAACCCTAGCATTTAGGGATGGAATGAGACATAGCTTCATAGGAGAGCTTAGAAAACCATTGGTTCCTCCCCTGACAGGACCATTATGCGGATCCTATCACTCCTGAAAGGCAGAGAAGGCAGCAAGATGGGTCATGACTATAGGAGAACATGCTATAAGGCCTTGATCAGTCATCTCCCTGAGGCCGAAGCTTCTAGAACACATCCTCAGAGAAGGAACTACAAGAGACCAAAGATTCTCATTCAGTGAATAAAGAGAGCAGGTGCACAGCCACAGGAGAAAAGGCTCGTGATGCAATGATAGAGAGGTTCTGGAGATGTGGAAAGTGGGAGAAAGGGAAATGGGAACTGTAAAGAGGGAGACTATCTCCTCTTGAGATTAGGAAAAGGAGATAATTTCATTTTGTTTTTCATGAGCTTAAAAATGAAGAACAGAAAGATAAAATCCAACAAGGTAGACGTTTGTCACACATCAAAACCACCACATTTGCTTTGAAGAGAAGTAAGAACCCAGATACAAAGAGAAACAGAACCTGTCTTAGCATCTAGCAAGTATATTCCTAGGTCTGTACCTAGAGGTTTATCTAGAGTAAAAGCCCTTGTGGGAGAAGGGAGAGGGACTATTTGGACACCTCAGGGAGAGGGCTACCGGTTAGCAGGGAGTGGATAGAAAGGGGTGTAATGGGAGAAAGGGCTCAGGTGGGGAGATGCAACCACTCACCAGTTGTAGCTTCCTCCTGGACACCGCATGTTCTGAACTGCTGTTGGGGTTCCTGGGGCCCCCCCTGGAGCTAGCCCCGCCCCTGACCTCGTAGTCCTCCATTGGATGTCCCAAGTATCAGTCTGTCATAGTTCCCCAAAGGGGTGTGGTTTTATACTGTGGCTCTGCTTTATGCCTTCAGGAGAGACCACCCCCTCTACTTCCAGAACCCAGACGTTCTGCCTCCTAATCTCTTTCTTTCATTTGTGAACCCCTAGAGTCAGAAGAGTATAGCTGCAGTAACAAGGACTTTGGAATAATCAGACCTGCCTAAGAGCCTCATCTCTGCCATTTACAGGTTGAGTCACTTAGGGCAAGTCACTTCTCTGAGACTAGTTACCTCATTTATGAAGTAAGGATAATCTCTGCTTACCTCATTTGGAGGTGGGAGTGAAAATGAAATGTGAAAGTGGTTTGTAAGTATGAAGCACTATTCAAATGTTAATAGTTCTGTTTCTTAGAGGTGACAGAGATGTAGTAGCTGGAAGCTGTTTCTACTACCTCAGAAGTAAAAAAGGACTGAAATGTCTGGATTCCAAGAAAGGCCAAAAGCATGCCTCTTCCTCCTCCCTGACTTTGTAATGGGAAGCCTCACTTGCTCTGTGGGAATGACCCCTGTCATGGGGCCACCATCACAGACTGGGTGTGTGAGTGACTCAGATCCTCCCATCAAACTCTGAAGGGGGCAACCCCAGGAAGGGACTGCGGTGGTCTTCGGAGAGAAAACCTTTTCTTGAGCCGATGACAAATGACATTTCTCTGAAATCAGGAGTTAGGGGTTTCTTTTACTTCCTGCCCAAGGGTTAAGGTCTCTGGAGATTCCCCCTCTTTTCACTCTTTGATCTGGGGAAAGGATGTGATCTGAAAGACTCAAATTTCTGTTTCTTATTATTATCCCTGATCTTGTAACAAAGGTTTCATTCATTCAACAAATGTTGATAAAGTATATGCACAAAAAATAATTGGAAGAAAAACGAGTCAGGCCCTGGTTGGCTGCTCTGGTGTCGACAGTGTCTGGTTCTTCCTAGGCATCTTTATCCTGATCCTCTCCCAGATCCAAATATTGTCTCTAAGTTCCCATTTCTCTTTTTGGCTCCAGAGCCCCCCCAAATATTCAGACCAGCCTTCTGTTCTCTCCCTCCAGACCTAACATGCCATCTCTTTTGTTCTAGCTTGGGCACGGGCAGGTGTTAACCCTTCCTAGATCAGACAGGGTGTGTCATGGGTGAGGCTGGTGGAGGGGCAATAGGGTGGAGAGAGGGGAAGATGAGTCAGAGTGAAAGGGAAAATGCAAATAGGCAAGCTGTATTCATCTACTACTCTGAACGTTAAATATTTTCCATTCTTGAGCTTTCTAACTCCTCACACCACCACACCCAGGGACACATGAGACACATTAAAGTCCCTCCGATATATATGTATACAGAGAGAAACATCCTTCCTCCAACACAGAAATACACAATCTCCAAAGACAAGGATTAAGTGGGGAAAGCTGTGAGGGAGAAGCCCTGGTACAGAAGGAAATGTACAGGGGTCTGGAAGATGATGTCATCACTCAGGGGAGTGTGATCCCCCTCACCTCCAGCCCTACATCATGTGCTTGTGACTCAGCTCTTCCACTGGCGTGGTTTGCTCACTGATGCTCTAGAGGGTTGAAAACTGCTCAAAGGGCAGCATCTTCTAAGACAAAAGTAGTTGACAGGCAGTGTCAATGGGCTTTTGTGGAACCTAACAGGGAGGAGAAAGGCCAAGGGACTCCCCATTCAGTAGATGAAAGCCCCCAAGAATGGGAAACCCCAGCTCACCTCCTACTTGGTGTCTACCCTACTTAGGATATCCCATTAGAGACTGCCTCCTTAGAGGTATTCGCCAGGGCCTCTGCACCTCAGCCTTCATACTGGGGACACTCCAGGCCCTTCTCTAGACTCTTCCTTCATTCTTGACAATTCAGCCCAAGCCATCTTGCATTGGGCAGTGACAAGAGAAACAGAAGCAAGCAGTACTTTGATTTGGAAGGAGAGGGACATTGCTGACTATTGCCGCTCTTAAAAGGTCTCCCCTTGGGCCAGCCTGTGGTGGTAGTTAGACTGCTGGATCCCACATGGCTGACGGCACAGTTAGAGCCCTGGACCTGATAGCTTGAAAAACACTCAGACATTTGTGCCTCGTGTACTCAAAATTCCAAGAGGAGAAAGGGTTGCGGCAGGGCCATCCACCCTTGGGGAGGGGTGACTTCTCTTTCTGGCGAAATGTGCACCATAAAGCAAATTTTTAAAATAATAATAAAATAAAGATCTCCCCTCACTACTCTGATAAACCTTACCTACTTTCTATTCCCTGGCTGACTCGGTAGGAATTGTCTACAGTTGTCTCACTGGGGAAGGTCCAGGAAACCACAGGTTAGAAAGACACAAACCTACATCTTAGTAGAGGGTTGAATGGGTATGAGAGATTGAAGGGGCCTGCAGGTGGCATGGTGGATAAGACATGACTGGAAGAGGAGTGTAAGGAAAGAAAATGCGGCTTCTACCTTTTAGCCCTTTTTTTGGGGGGCGGGGGAGGGTTGCCATAGGGTGTGTGCATTTGCCAGAGAGAGACAGAGGAGAAGTGAAATCACCCCCTCCAGGGAGGATGGCCATGCCACAATTCCTTATCTTTCGTTCTCTCAGGATTTGGGGCATGCATGCACATGTGCCTTGTGTGATTTTCAAGCCATCAGATCTGGAACCCAAACTATGGTCAGCCATGTGAGAGTCCAGCACTCTAACCATCACACCACCTACTAGTCCCTTCAGTCTTTTTAATTTTTTTGAGAGGTTTTTACTATAGGGCGCGTATGCTTGCCAGAAAGACAGAGAGAGACAGAGAGACAGAAAGCGAGAAATCACCACTCAGGGGGGATGGTCACGCCGCAATCCTTTCTCCTCCATTCTCCTCTTGGGATCTTGGGCATGCACGCACACGCGCCCGGCGTGAGTTTTAAGCCACCGGGTCTGGGACGTGAACTGCGGCCCTATGTGGGAGTCCAGCACCATAGCCATTACGCTAACTGCTGGTTCCCTCCTTCTGGGATCTTGAGCACACATGCATATGCGCCTGGCGTGAGTTAAAGCCACCGGGTCCAGGACTTGAACCGTGGTCGACTACATGGGAGTCCAGCGACATAGCCATTACACTAACTGCTGGTCCCTTCAGTCCTTTTTAATACAGTAGCTTCCTCTTATCCATGAATATGTTCCAAGACCCCATGAATGTTCACAACTGCAGACAGTACTAAACCTTATGTATACTATGCTTTCTCCTATACATACATACCTATGATAAAGTGTACTTTGTAAATTAGGTATTGTAAGAGATTAACACCAACTAATAACAAATAGAACAATTAAAATAATACACTGCAATAAGCTATGAGGATGGCCTCCAAATATCTTATTGTACTGTACTCACCCATTTTTGGACCATGGAAAGTGAAACCACGGACAATGTATTCACATCACTGAATAAGATTTGAAATCTGATTTTTTTTTTCTTTTGAGAGAAAGATTTTTGCTATATAGAGAGAAAGTGAGAATCACTTCCTGGGGTAGATGACCACACCACAATCCCTTCTCCATTCTCCTCTCAGGATTTTGGCATACATGCACATGTAACCAGCGTGAGTTTCAAGCTGTTGGGTCCAGGACTCGAACTGTGGTTGACCATGTGGGAGTCCAGCGCCTTAACCATTATGCCACCTGCTGGCCCTGAAATCTGATATTTTTTATTCTTACTGATAGGCATGACCAATGGGGCACTAAGGGGCAAATATGCGAAGGACCCAGTGCACACTCTAGCTACAAAATCAGAGTTTTCCAGAAATCTAAGTTCCTTCAGGAACAATGCAGCTTGATGTAACAATGTCAACAAGGCAATACAAATATTGATTATCTTTAAAAGTATTTAAACCATCAGAATAGGCCAACTAGGATGAATGATGATCTGTTTTATGAAAACTGTTTTCTTTTATCTCACTTATTTAAAGTATTGAACCTTCTCCCCAAGTCAAGTTGAACAAGATTCGATTCAAAAAAAGAAAGTGAATTAGTCACTTTTCCCAGGAATACATCTTTCCATGAATTAAGGCGATTCATATCATTTTATAGATTAAGACCAATAATCCAAATCTTACATGAACTCTCAGGATGTTCACTCCTTCTAGTTAAGTACATCCAACACATACCAGAGAAGAGACACTACATGGTGACTTAGTTCTTTTCTAAGTCTGCGATCTACATAATCCAACAACCAGACGCCGTCATACCCAGGTCACCTGGGTAAGAGCTGTAGTCACAAAGACTCTTAGCACATATCTTGCGAATTAAGTGGAAAATGAACAAGATCAGAAGTCAGAAAACAGGTTTCACTGCATCCTCACTGGGGATGGCCTTTTTCTCTTCAGCCCTAATATGAGGCTAATTCTTCCCAAACCCTTAACATCCTCCCAGGGGTTGTTTCAAGACCAATGCTGAATACCAGTGTTGACTTAAACTAGGGAAGAGGGTCCCACTTCAACTTTCTCTGGCTGTGTCTCTTCCCATGGATTGAGGTGTCCAGGGCATCTAGGAAGTACCCACTTAGAACCTTCAAACCATCCCCTACACAGACACTTCTAGACCATTCTCTGGGAATCCTGAATGCTGGATTTCCTGGGCCAAGTGACTTAGAGCCCACTTCCAGGACCTACACGGGTCTCTACCCCAGGTCTATACCCATCACAGTGGACCATGTGACTGATGTACACACCCGAGGTCCTGATTATGTGTGACAGGCATGTAGACTGAGCTTCAACGTGCAGGCTGGTGGTACACCTAGAAGCATGGGCTAACATGCTTGTAGTCTTGCCCAGGCCCCATAAGTAATAAGGAACCAGTTTTATTGTAGTAGTTCTTTACCTCTTAGAGATTTGCCATGCAGTTAAGAATGTAAGCCATGGGACCAATTCTTTACATTAAAACTGTAGACACTATACCATTTTGCATATGAATGAATGACGAGATACACATATGGCTCTGAAACCCATACCTGGACAGGTTAAATATTCCTTCTCACTTATCCTTGTAGCCCCTTTTGCCCTCCCCTCTCCCCCACAAATACACACACGCACAAATTGAAAAAAAAAAAATTTCCAGGGACTAACAGACCATTGAAGTCCACTCATGTACCACCCCCCTGCACTTCCACCCCTGGTTTTAAAACTCTGGGTGTACATGAAACTACTGTGAAAGCTTTCATACCAACTAACAGCAGAGTGAAATTAGATGTTAACAGCCTGCTCTATCAGTATAAAAGATCGTAAGTACAGACAACCCGAATGATTGATTTTCTAAAGTGCAGACTATCTCTCACACCTCTTCCTGTGCTCCAGAATAACATGAATCTCTCCCACGAACCTGCCCTTTGCTTACAGCCTATTTGGGGAATGACCAGAAAAGGCATGGAGGGATGGGACAAGGAGACCGAAAAGCCTAGCCATGACCCAATCCCAATTCGGTCAAGTAACCATAGGGCAATAATGCTTCATACAGGCAAACAGCTTGGTTAGGATTCAGAGTCTTCATTCCTAGAACCTAATCTCCTGGCCGCATTGTTCAATCTAAACCTGATATTGGAAAACATCTGCCAAGAGCACCATAACCTGGAGAGAAACCCCAGAAAGCCTTGCAGCTGTATGTTTTCAGCACGATCTGGATGCAGTGACCCTTAACGACTTCCAGTGGGTTTTCAATCTCACTAACATTCACTTTCCACAAAAAGTGGGTCAGAAAACACTAATTTTGTCTCTTGAACAGTGGGTCCCTGTAACCTCCAAAGAGCCACAGGCCTCTCCTCTCAGCCACCAGATTCAGTGCAGACAACCTTTCACTCTCAGAAGCCATAACTCAAGGCCAGTGACTCCAAGCAGAGCCAACCACCTCAAACTTCCCCAATACACACCATAACCAACTTCCCCCTCAAGCTGGCCTCGAGGACCATGGACCAACTCAGATGTAAGGCTGGCTTGGCTTACGCCCAGCATAGATTTCCATGCGCCCCCATTTTGCCCCCTCTTCCGGGCAGAGGAAGGTCCCAACTCTCAACTGCCCTCTCCTCCACAGTGACTACTTAAGCCCCCATTCCCTGGGCCAGACTCAAGGCCAAATAAGAGTAAGAAAAACCACAGCACTCACCGACTTAGACCCTGTTCTTCTTCCCCGTTTGGCCTCACACACACACTCTGGTCCGCGAAAGCCTGAGTGGCCGTTAGAAAGTGGGGAGCTGCACGAGGACAGGAGCGCAGGGCAGGGGTGCCTGCAAGGCAGACGCTGATTGGCTGTAGCGCTGGCCGCATTCTCCTGCGGGTATCGCCTGGCCTACCACGCTGAATAGCCTAGGAGGCACCTAGGACGTTGCCACTTCCTCGCTCTGCCTCGGGCCCACAGCGGATTGACTGCGGAGCTCTCCCCTTGCTGTGGAGGGCCAGGGTTTTGAGCCTGAGTGGGCAGATTTAAGTTTCTGGCTCCAAGGCTGAGATCTCATTGTCTTCCAGCCCATCCGCAGTGTTGATTGGCTATGAAGTTTGCCCTTTCCTGGCTTTTCTATGAAGAACCTGAAACTCCCTGGTCAGAACAGTCTTGGAGGAGCCAGCAGGTGGGGTGGTGGTTAAGGCACCGGATCCCACATGGCTGACTCCACAATTCCAGTGAAAAGCCGCACTGGGCTGTGCAAGCGGCCCCAAATCCCAAGTGGAGAATGGAGGAGAAGGGATTGCGGTGTGGAGAGTGATTTCTCACTTCGGCCTCCTCTGTCTCTCACGAAGCTCAGTCGCCCTGTGGCAAAAATTCGTTTTTTAAATTTTTTCGTGAAAATTCTTAAAAAAAAAAATCTTGGGACCAGCACATCACTCAACTCTCATGGAATCGACCATGGTTTGAGTCCCGGACCCTGCGACTTGAAACTCAGGCTGGGCATGAGTGCTGTATGCGTACCCAAAATCCTGAAAGGAGAAAGGATTGCAGTGTGGCCATTTCCCCTGGGGTATGAGTTCTTGCTTTCTGTCTCTCTGTCTTTCTGGCGAATGCACTGGCCTATAGAAAAATCTCTCTCAAAAAAAAAAAAAAAAAAGAAAGAAAGAAAGAAAAGAAAGTCTTGGAGCCTACCCCTACAAGTGCTCAGGAGTACCACCTCCTTTCTGGCCACCCTGAGGAGCTCTCCTTTGCAAACCCTGTCACCTTTCGCTTAACCCTTTATAACCTGGAGAGTTACATTCTGCGGAGAAGACTGTGGAGCGATATGCAGGTTGCCGCCACACCTGACTGGCTGGAAGGTCTTCAAGAACTAGGCGGGCTTCAAGTGTCTGCAGACTGCTCCTCTTTCCCGCCTTTTGCCGGGCCCCACACAGGGCACAGATCGCCCCGGAAGTGTACGGTGACAGGGAAGGCACAAGAGGGGGCAGTGTCTCCACACAACCGGCCTAGACATCGCATTTGAAATTCTCACTGGCACCGCAACGGCGCCAGGACTAACTACGCGCTTCGTGTACCAGCCCCCCGCCGTCGACAGTACGGCCTATTGAGGGACCGGTCCGCGACCAGAGCCCGGTCAGCAGGCTCTCCGCCCACGAAAGGCTTCGGGGCTGACAAGCGGCGACCGCTGAGCGCACCGCGCCAATCTTCCGAGACTGGCCGATCGCCTCTCTCCTGTCATGAGCCCGGTTGCGGTTACACCGCTGATTGGCTGACCCACAGGCTTAGCCTTGGGTTCGCACTCGGGAACACCCAATGAAGCGCCAGGGCGCTTTAGGGAGGCGGGCATTGCTCCACCGCTGCCGCTTCTGATTGGTTGCAATGACCGCCTCTTCGCCTTTGATGGGGCGGGGCGGAACGGTTTCGGGCGGTTAGAGTTAAATCGCCGGGTCTGAGCTCCGCTCCCAGCTCTGCGGAAGGTTGTTAGCCATTCCTTCCCCGCGGTTTAGCTGAGGGGTACGGGTGGGGAAACGGGGTGTGCCAGAAGCCCCCCCAGGAAGGCATGAGGCGGGACAGTCTGGGTCACAGAGTTTAAATCGCGACAGAGAATGCATGACGCGGCTTTTCAAAGGCAGAAGAAGGGTGGAGGTCGGGAAGGCAGGCGTTGTAGTAACAGCAGCTCTTCCTTATGGAGCTCTTTCCGCGTCCCGCGCTTTGTCATCATCTCAAGAAATCTCATAAATAACCCGGTTACCATGCCTGCTTACCGCCTGAGGGGGCAGAGATGTGAAGTCTTTTGTCGCAGCGAGTCCGAGCCTTGTTGGGACTCGAATTGTATTCTAGTGAGAGTCGAGCATTGGAACTACACTATAAAGTAGAGTTTTTTTCTTTCTTTCTTTCTTTCTTTCTTTCTTTCTTTCTTTCTTTCTTTCTTTCTTTCTTTCTTTCTTTCTTTTTTTCTTTTCTTTTTTTTTTGAGAGGTTTTTGCTATAGCGCTCCTGCGATCGCCCGGAAGAGAGAGACTGAGAGACAGAAAGCGAGAAATCATCTCCTGGGCTGGATGGCCACGCCGCAATCCCTTCTCCTCCATTCTCCTCTCGGGATCTTGGGCATGCACGCAAACGAGCCCGGTGTGAGTGTAAGCCACTGGGTTTGGGACTCGAACCGCGGTCAGCTACATGGGTGTTCAGCGACACAGCCATTATGCTAACTGCTAGTCCCAAAGTAGAGTTGATCTTGTAGATGTGGGATATGTTCTGATGGGATCACGTTGACCCTTTATTTATTTTTGAGGTCCGTTTATCTTCTCGACTTGGATCTGATCCTGAAGTTTTGGCACTCGGTGCATATTTTCAAGTCCTCAAACTGGTGAAAATGCATTTGAATTGTGAAAAAGAGTATTAAAAAAAATAAAAGGAAGTCTCATCAATGCCACCTACACTGAACTAGGCCAGTTACATCATCTCATTGAAGCCTTCTAACAAGCTCTATCATATTTACTGTTATTCTCACTTTACAGACAGGCAAACAGGTTGAGAGAAGACATTCTCTTCCCTGAGCTCTCACCAGAAGTAACTGTCAGAGCTGGAATTTGAAACAAGTTCTGTTCAGTCCATAGCCTAAGCTTGTAACCACTGGTATACACTACCTCCCATCCTAGCAGCTACAGAGTCCAGAGTGCAGACACCCGTGCTGGAAATCCTTACAGTTATCCTAGGAAGAGGAAAGTTGACAGCACCTGTAGGAACAGAAAACCAAGGCTCCTAGAGGTGAAGATACTTAGCTCAGCTCACGCAGTTGGTCTATGGCTGAACAAGGAATAGAATGACACATGACCTGAACCCAAATCTGAGTTCTTTCCTCACTCTGCGCTCTTGCCATTTGACAGATGAAGAAACTGAGGTCTGGGGACCAGCAGTTAGCGTAATGGATATGTTGCTGGACTTCCATGTATTGACCGCGGTTCGCATCGCAGACCCAGTGGCTTAAAACTCACACCAGGTGTGTGTACGTTCGTGCCCAAGATCCCGAGAGGAGAGTGGAGGAGAAGGGATTGTGTCATGGCCATCCCCCCTGGGGGGTGATTTCTCGCTTTCTTTCTCTCTGTCTCTCTCTGTCTTTTTTTTTTTTTTTTTTTGGAGAGGTTTTTGCTACCAGGGTGCGTGCGCTCGCCAGACAGCCAGAGAGAGACAGAGACAGAAAGCGGGAAATCACCCCCCAAGGGGGATGGTCACGCCACAATCCCTTCTCCTCTATTCTCCTCTCGGGATCTTGGGTACGCACGCACACTTGCCTGGTGTGAGTTTTAAGACACCGGGTCCTGGACGCGAACCGCGGTCGACTACGTGGGAGTCCAGCGACATAGCCATTACGCTAACTGCTGGTTCCTGGTCTCTCTCTCTCTCTGTCTTTCTGGCGAGTGCACATGCCCTATAGCAAAAACCTCTCCAAAAAAAAGTATTTTGCATGTATCATTTCACTGACTCCGCATAATTATTCTAGGACATGGGGGACATTATTATTGTCCCCATTGTACAGGTGAGGAGACATACCTAGGTCTTTGCTGTGTTTGCAGAGCTAGTGAACAGTGGAGCCTGGATGGGAATCCAGACAGGCTGACTCCAAAGCCCTCAATATCAGCCATTCAGATTGTGTAGGTATGAGGAGACAGAGTGAAGGACCTTGGCTCTAAGGAAATGGAATAAGGGTTTTCAGCTTGGTCGTGGTTGGATTGTAAGATTTGGAGAATTAAGTGTCTGATAGGAGTAGAGAAATAACTGTTGCTTATTGAGTGACTATTCTGTGCCAGACCCCATGCTAACAAAGCTTTAATATATGCTGAGAAGCAGTGGGCTTTGTGACCAAGTATCTGGATGCTGGATCCCAACTGCCTCGGTTCACATCCTGGCCCTGCTGCTACTCACAAGTCATGGCACCTTGGCAAGTTACTTAACCCTTCTGGGTCTTAATTTCTTCCTCTGTAAAATGGGGATAATAGTACATTAGGCCTATTGAGAGGATTAAATGAACAAATAGAACAAATAGAGAAGGTGGCTTCTCTTTTCTTCACAGTATGCAGAAATTGTTACTTTGTAATCAGCATCATCTGCCTTGACTCTGCTGTAAGACCCTGAAAATTAAGGCTGAATATTTTCCATGGGAAAGTCTATGGGAAGTGTGTTGCTAGAAGGGATGGCAAGTACAAAGGCCCTGAGGCAGGAGTGAATTTCCTATGTTTGAAATATAATAAGTTCAACTAGAGCCAAGCAATTGACTAAAACTCAGGAGCTTAGCTCAAGTGCACTAGTGTTCATAACAGATATAAAAATAACCAATTTTCAAACCATAAACAATTTCCCCTAAGCTTTGAGCTCTCTAAAAACCCAAGGCCGTGGAACCAGCAGTTAGCATAATGGCTGTGTCGCTGGACTCCCATGTAGTCGACTGTGGTTCGAGTCCCGGACCCGGTGGCTTGAACACACGCCGGGTTACATGTGCGTGCGTGCCCAAGATCCCGAGAGGAGAATGGAGGAGAAGGGATTGCAGTGTGGCCATCCTCTCTGGGGAGTGATGTCTCGCTTTCTGTCTCTGTCTCTCTGGCGAGTGCATGCATCCTATAGCAAAAAAACCCACAAAACTCTAAAAACAACAACAACAAAAAAAAAACCCCAAGGCCGTGATGGCTTTACTTTTGAGACTACTCAGTGTCTAAGTTTGCACAGCTCCCGTGGCTGGTGTATAGGTGTTAAGAGACTTACATTTACCTAGATATTTATTGAGCTCCTGCAGTGAATGGCATCTG